TATATATATATATTAGTATTATTGGATTTCAGGAGTGATCAATGGAACCGCACCTAACCCTGTCCGTCTAGCCGAAATGTGCCAACATTTGGGATCGGTGATGGGGCGGCCGTCATGGCTACCGGTGCCCGACCTTGCCCTCAAAGCGGTCCTTGGAGAAGGCGCGATAGTGGTAAGCATAAAGCCCTTTATGTACTACTGTGTTTGGACTGGACTGAGATTGCAACTAATGTGAATGGGAGAAAATTTGCATTATTATTAAAGTAAAATAAGCGAAAATACTTTTTTATTAACAAGTTATATATTGATTAAATAACAAATTAGTATATAGTAGTTAATGTTTCAATGATTATTATAAATTATAAATGATTAAGACATGTAATGTAAATTATATCTTGATTATAAATGATATTCCTAAAAATGGGTTTTTTTTTTGGCAGGTTTTGGAAGGACAAAGGGTGGTGCCTGTTAGAGCGAAAGAATTAGGGTTTTCGTATAAGTATCCGTACATCAAAGAAGCATTGAAAGCCATTTTAGCTCAAAAGGTTGTAGTCTGACTGACAACAGATCTTCACATTTTTTATTATTTTTGTGTCAAGAAAAGCGAAAGCAAAAGTTGGATAGAAAATACTATTGAAAAATATGGTGAGTTTATATTTGTGTATTTATTTGTATGGATTATGAAACCAAAAATATGAAGATGTCGCATTGATGATTGTTGCATTGCTTTCTTGATTGGATGCTCTCAATTGGAAACCATTGAGTTAATTTTGAGTGTTACTTGTGTTGCATACTATTTATTTCATTTTAAACGACTCAATACCAAATAGGGTAATTATTAATATCCGCTAGAAGCTATTACTTTTTTGTCTGTTTTATGTTGAAATCTTTGTAACGTTTGGTGAGAATAAGTTATTTATCCTTACTTTTACTTTTGCTTTCATTACAGCCTTTTGTTCAGGGTCTGATTTACTTCCTTTGGACTAGTTGCAACTTGCAAAGATTGCGACATAAATCTTTCATCGGGTGAGAATTAGGCCAAGTGGTTCAAAGTTCAAAGGGACTAATGACACTAAAATTTCTAAAAAATCTAGGCCTCAGGATTTGGATACTCCGATGATCTTATATGATTTTGGAATGAATAGATTGCACCAAAATGCTGAACTATCTTGTAATAACGTTGAACAAAACGATGAAAATGACATTCTTAAGATCAAAATCAATAAGACTTTTAAAGATGAAATGTAGTAGACATCCATATCTTTTCAACTATATAAAATAAAAATTCAAATGATTTTCGTAGAATTAATTATTATTTTTAGAAACGATGAAAATGACATTCTTAAGATCAAAATGAAAAAGACTTCGGTAGACATCCATATCTTTTCAACTATACAAAATACAAATTCAAATGATTTTTTTAGAATTAATTATTATTTTTAGAAGTTCGTGACAAATTAGAGTTTTAAGCATTAAAGGTTATTAAGTCACTTTTTACCCTTTCTTTAAGCTCTTACAAAGTAATGAACTAGCTTTAAGCCTTTAACTTTGCAACTTTCAACGGATAAAAATTCATATGGAGTACCTCAAGATGGATTACAACCCATTATCTTAACTGGTTTGCACTTTGCAAGCCCCTCAACCCACAACCACCCTTGCATGGTGGCATGTGGTGGTTCTGGTTCAAGAAGGAACATGAACACCGGTGGTAGGGGCTTCCAGTGGTGGCAACATGGTGGTTAGAAGTGGTAATGGCAATTTCCAAACCAAAAACAAACACATAATCTAAATTATCTCTTCGATCAGAAGTCTCGTGAATAGGTGCACCACAACCACCATTAGATGGCAGTACTGTGGTGGTTTCACAATGGCTAACCGATTTAAAGAGGCTACAATGGTGGTGTACGGCAACAATACAGAAAAAGAAAGAAAATGAAAATGGTGACAACGGTGGTTACCTCAAACACAAGCCTCAAATAGCCTCTCATTCTCGCACTCTCATATTTCTTTCTCCTATGGGATTCCAGTAGCAAAGCTCAACAATTCAGCGGCCACCTCCTCTCTCTCATTCTCTCGATTTTGTTTCTTTCTTAAGCGACGTGTGTGTGAGTTTGTATTTTTACGTTTTACACATTGTTCCCGAGTTCAACTCAACGAGAGAAATGAAAAGAAATAAATGAAAGTGAGAAGAAAGTAAAAATTGGTGTTCCCAAGATTCATTAATGGAAGGAAATGGAAGGAAAATTTCCTTCCAATTTGAAAGGATTTGGAAAGAATGAAACAAGATGTTTGATATTATTTCCACTTCTCTTTAACTTGGGATCACAAATATAAATTTCTTTTCCTTTATTTCCCTTTCTCTCATTACTTCCTTTCCCTTTTTTCTTTCATTTGCTAAATTCAGAAACTAGGTGTTAGGGTTAACAAGGCTACTTATATGGACACAAAAGACTTGGGCGGCAAGGGAAAGTTCACGTAACCTTATTCCCGTCAAATTCAGGGGCTTAATGTAACATCCCTAGGCGCACGTACAAGATATTGTCCGCTTTGGGCTACTCAGCACAAGGACTTCCCAGGGTCAGCACCTGAGGATGTTACATTAAGCCCATGACTTTGACGGGAATAAGATTATGTGAACTTCCCTTGCTGCTCGGTACAAGGACTTCCCAGAGGTCACCTATCACTATACTACTCTCCCCCGAGCACGCTTAATTGTAGAGTTCTTATGGGATCTACTACCCTCACAACTTTAAAACGTGTTCTTTAAGGAAGGTTTCCACACCCCTTATTGTAACATCCCAAAAATACAACCCAAAAATTTTCGTTTGAAAACTTTACTAAATCATCATATCAAATATT